CATCAGTAAAATGTTAGCTGCTTAAGGGCAAGGACTGTTGGTTGTGTGCCTGTATCTGGAAGGAAGGGAGGAAGGAAGGAAGGAAGGAAGGAAGGAAGGAAGGAAGGAAGGAAGGAAGGAAGGAAGGAAGGAAGGAAGGAAGGAAGGAAGGAAGGGGGGAGAGAGGGAGGATTTCATAAGCTTTCCCTCGTTGCCTGGTGCTTTACAATTACTATGTCGTCTGATCTTCACAACAAATGGGATCTAACAGGGAGTAGGTGCTATTATTATCTCCATTTTATAACTGAAACTGAGGCAGACAAAAGCTAAGTGATTTGACCAAGGTCACACAGCTAGTAAGTGTCTTACATTAGATTTGAACTCAGGTCTATGTGACTCTAGGCCCAGCACTCTTATTCACTGTGCCCCCTAGCAGACTACAAACGTCTTATGCAAAGGGATAGGGACTGGACCTGCAACTTCTTTAGTAGAGGGAACTTCTGAATGAGGAAAGTGCCTCTACCCATGCAGATTGTCATCTTCTCTGCAACTTACAGTCTTAGAGTAGCCTAGAGCACTAAGAAGCTGAGTGGGTTGCCAGGTCACACAGCCAGTACGTTGGGCCAGAGAGAAAATTTGAACCCAGGTCTCATACTTAGTAGATGTCTAGTATGTTTATATTAAGTTGAAATGAATTGAAGTTTATGTCTTTCAATCAATTAATCAACAAGCAGTTAAAAAGTACATGGGATCATGGCCTGGGTCTAAAGTCAGAAAGACTTGAGTTCTACTGCAGCCTCTTACACTTAACTGTGGGACCTTGGGCAAGTCACTTGAATGCTTCTCGGCCTCAGCTTCTTCCTCTGTAAAATAAGAAGATTGGATTAGAGGGACTCTGAGGTCCCTTCTGTCTCTAAATCTGGGATCCCATAAGCCTATAGTCATCATAATGCAAGCTAGGCACTGGTCGAATGGTTCTCTCCATTTTATAGATGAAGAAATAGAAGCTTCTAAGACGTGAGGTCAAAGAGCCACGGTGGCAGGATTGGGAGCCAGCTTGGAAGCTGCAGTCTCCAAATCTAGGTCCTTTCCATTGCATGAGCTGCCTTCCTTGACAATAAAAATAAGCTGATGGTGATGAAAGGATTCCAGCATGGTGAGTGGTACAAGAGCAGGCTCCCCTAGCCTGAGTTACATGCCCTGAAGCACAGCCACATAGTGAAAGCCCCATCACATACTATCGCATGTGACTGTGATGACAGAATTCCCGAGGGATTCCACTGCACCTCAAGCCCCTCAAAAGCTGGGAGCTGGTCCTTGATCATTTTTGCCAAGCTAAGTGCCAAGTCATTATCTCTATTTCAGCGTGAATGACTGTCACTTCCCTCGTTCTTCTAAACAATTCCTTATGGAATTAATTTCCTTGAGGCATTTTCAGTCCTTAAGATGGAAAAACAAACTCAACTTAAAATCCAAGAAAGAAAGCAAAGGCAGCTGCTCCCAAGGGAGAGAGGGGAAGGCAGAGAAGCTTTCTGGGAATCCAACAGCCCTTTCTAGGGATCTCCCAGAAACGCCATCTGGAACCCTCGTCCTCATCATCTCCTGCACCATTTTGTTAGTCAAGTAGACCTGCCTTACAAGAGGAAGAAGGTGTGCAAGATCTTCTGGCCGATGGCAGTGAGAGATCTCCATTGTCTTTTGGCTACAAAAGTCCATAGGCACTGACCACTCCTCCAGTCCTGGAGCACATGGCTCAGCAGTTCATGCATCTCAGGAGTCCTGTTGGACAACTGAGACCTGAAGTGCCCATTGCTGGCTCAATTCCTTTCAGTGACTGTAGCCCTGGCACCTGGCACAGAGTAGGTGCTAAAAATGTGAGCCATGCCTACAGAAAGGGCAAAGACTTGTTCATAGAGCAGTATGGAGATGGTTTCTAGAGCAGAGGATAGGGCCCTGAGGCTCCCTGGCACCCTGCTAGGCACCTGGCAGATGACATCTCCAAACCAATGCTTATTTAAGTCTGAATGTCTCCTGGCATCTCCCTAGGGGCACTTCGCTCTGTAGTTTGTAAGAACAGTCACACACCTTTGGGACATGCAGCAGGATGTGTCCCATGAATGATGACACAGTTAGAAGGCACAGGAGAGGGACGGAGGAGTGGCATTTCTGCCCAAGATGGACAGGCTGACAACTAACAAGAGATGGACAAAAATAATGGATTTCCTCAGCTTGGCTGCCTTGAAATGCTGTAAATAAAAATACTTCACTTCTTTGGTGCCTTCCTTGTGTGTCCTTTATCTTCATCACAAGATCATGGAGTGTGAGTGTTGGTTAAAGGCACTGAGGATCTTTAGCCTGGAGAAGAGAAGACATGGGAGGACATGAGAGCTATCTCCAAGTGTGGGAAGGACTGCCATGAGGAGAAGAGATCAGACCTTCTCAGCTTGAGCTGACCTAGGAGCTATGCATAACTGTTGCAAAGAGGCAGGTTTTGGGCCTGATATCAAGAAAAGCTTGTTAACTGAGCTGTCCAAATGGAAGACGGGCTCTCCCTCCCTGGAACCCTCGCAGTGGAGGCTGAGTAGGTTAGGGTGGGGTGATTGTGTCATCAGGAGCAGGCTGACCTAAATACCTCTGAGGTCCCTTCTCACTCTCAGATTCAGAATCCCCAAACCCCCCCCCTGCCTGATTCAGGGGCCCTCAAAAGATCCCACACCCAAAGCTGTATTCTTGCTTCTTATCATAACACTCCAGCCATCCTGAGATTCTCATCCTGGGTCAAACAATAAGAGACTTCTTACAGACACGCCGAGGATTTCCTCAGAAGCCACACCAGCTGCCCTGCTAGCTCTTTGTGGGACCAGAGCAAACCAAGGCAAGTATGGAAAACACTGACTCATGGGTTTGCCTCAGAGGTTCCAGAACTCCAACAAGGGAGTGTTGCTTTAAGAAGAGATGCCTCCTATTAGCCAACAGGCAGATGACCGAAAAGTCAGGGCAGAAAAAGATGCTGTTACTTATGAAAGCTTGGTGGCGCCAGCCAACCAATATTTATAACAAATGGGGCCTGGAAAAAAAATGTAATCAGTTAATGGACTACAGGACATGACATGACATTAAATCAATGGGCAGGGGGCAGGGGAGTCAATGGAACATCTCTGCATGAAATATAAATTCAGCTAAGGAGAGATGGCCGATCGATAGGAACAGAAACAGATCAGCTTAGCTCAAGGCTTTATTCACAAGGCTGTCTGTGATTTGTAAGGCCTGCAGCATGGGATGGGAAGGGCTTTTGCAGCCATGTCTGGGTGGTACTGGACAGTGTCCAGACCACAGGGGAAACTCAGAGAAATTAGACTTGGGGCTCAAGCAGGACTGGAAAAACATGGATAATCAGATTTATTAAATTCTAGCCTCAGCAGTGTCCAGGCCTGGCCAGCAGAACCTAGGGAGCTCTGCCTTTGCCCAGCTGCAAGTGTCTTCTTGACAGTGTAGACTCAAGACAAAGGAGGATGCTCGGTTCTGTGTTTGAAGACCCCAAGCCCCAAAGTGGCCATTCTGTCCACTGGTCCGTCAAGTACCATCTAAAGCTTAGCAGCAGTGATGACGGGGACAATAAGGATGATGCTAAGGATGACGATGACGACGACGATGACGATGGTGCCACCTAGTGTTCAGATAATACATTACAGCTCCCCAAACCAGCCCTGCTCAGGACAGACCCTCCTCACCTCTCGCCTGGACCACTGTGATAGCTTTCTGGTTGTTCTCCCTCCCTCCTATCTCTCCCCACTCTGGTCCATCCCCCACTCAGCTTGTTTATTTTCCTTTTAGGAACCTCATGAATGTTTTAGGTTCAGCTAGGGGCTACTTGCTTCATCAAGCTCCCCAGAGCGCTCTTCCTCCTCAAATCACCTTGTGCACCTTGGATTCTGAAGCAGACCATGAGCTCTTTGAGGGCAGGGGCTGTGTTCTGTTTTAGACTCTACGTTCCAAGGGCCAAGCAGAGGGATTTACAAAAAGTCTGGCTTAGGAGGTCAGGGGTTTGTTGGGCTGAGTGGTCCCAGTCTCCACATTCTGGCTCAGACCTGTTTAATGCAGTGCATCAGACTGAAAATCATCAGCTGGAATCCTGCTGCCAGGTCACCCATTTGTGACCCTGAAGAAAGGAAGCAGAATCCACATACGGGGTGACTGCATGCTGGTCATTGACTCTGCCTTTGTCCTGCACCTCCCTGTGACATGAAAAGGGGAAAGTTCCATCCGAGTGCCTTTACTTAACTGTCACCTAGGACAATCTCAGGGGGATATGGCCCCAAACCTATTCGGAGCAAGTACAGGGATGGCTGTGGAGAGTTAGTCCCAGAGAGGAAGTGTGGGGCAGTGGATAGAGCTTGTCCACCTCTAAAAGACAGCAAAGTGATTTCCTCACCACAGAGGAGTGTAAGTGTGACTCTTGCCAATTTACAAGGGAGCATTGCTTAGTTAAATGACCAGTGCCCAAGGTCTCACTGCTGGAAATTCAATGATTCAGGCCAACAAGCGCCTACTCTGTGCTAGAACTGTGGGCAGAGCTGGGGGTCCAGACAGAAAAGAGACAGTGGCCGCCCTCAAGGAGCTTCTATTCTGCTGTGGGAGGAACCAAGATAAACATGAATGAGTCAATACAAGATCAGTACAAAAATATCCCAACCCACCTACTTCCATTCCCTCCAGGATTCCCTTCCTTCTGCTTCTGCTTTGCACATGTCTTGTGTGGACCAAGTTGAGTACCTGTTGTCACCCCATTGCTATGTAAGATCCTTGAGGGCAGAGGCTGGTTTTGTGGGGGACTTTCCTTTCTTTGTATCCCTACCTAGCACCTAGCAGTAAGTGCATCATTAATGCTTATTGGATGATTAACTGATTGAAAATAAATATGAGGTAATTCAGGGGGATCACCAACAATGAGGAATCAAGAAGGACCTCTTTTTTTCTTCACAAGCATTTATTAAGCATCTGTTGTATGCAAGGTCCTTTACCCAGAGCTGGAAAAACCAGATGAAACCTAACCTGGTGCCTGTCCTCAGGGAGCTTACAGTCTAAAAGGACTCTGCTGAGAACAAATCCCAGGTTGAATGAGAAAGTGGATGGCTCGAGTAAGTGCTCAGCACAAGGTTCTGGGCCTGGGGTCTCCTAGAGCCAATGGCCCTCACAGGTCCCCGAACCAGATCCCTTTGCCTTTTCTCCACTGGAAGAGGGGAGAGAGACTCAGCATGAAGCAGCTGGACCAGTGCACCTTGTCTTCCTGGGGTGGGGGCCGTGGTGGGGGGGGCACCAATAACTCCTGTGACTCAGGGCCTCTGTCAGCAGATTTGTCACAGCAGGTAATCTCTGACAGCCCATTTGTTACAGGGGCTTCTGTAGAAAATAAAGGAGCAGAGAAAGAAGCATGGTGTAAGGAAAAGAACAATGAACTGAGAATCAGCAGCCTGAGTCCCAGGCCAGGGCCAGGCCTCCTTGGGAGGTGGGAGCCAGGGAGCCAGCCAAGCAGAGGTTACCCAGCTCTAGCTGGGGAGGGGAGGGAGGGGAGAGGAGACAGAACCAATGTCTGCCCTATCCCCAACAATCACAAAAAAGGCTTGCCTTTGTCTGTGTCTCTTGTGCTCCAGGGAACCAGGCAAGGGTTTATTTATTTATGAGGTTCTCTGGGAGGAGAGAGGGTTCTTTCAGAGATTCCCAGGCACCTGTGGGCACTTGTCTGGTCCCCTTGACCAGGAGCTCCCCAATTCTTTTCACTATAGCTCACCAAAATCTTCCCAACACTTCCTCTTTTCCTTTTCTTTTGCTCCTCTTTCTGGAAGCAGCAACGGCCACTTGCAGTAGAGGCACATAGCAGGGGTGGATGTGTGCTCCCACTCATGGATGGAGAAGGAAGCTCCAGGAAGGTTTTGGCAGAGCCCCAACCTCTTGCTTCAGGGAGGGGATTGTTGATTCCCAAGGCAGTGGGCTCTACGACCTGGCCTTGAGCCAGAGAAGAGGAATTTTGGGGATGATGCCAGATTTGTGTGTTGCTTTGTGGGTAACCCAAAGTTCAAGTGTTCCTGAGTGCAGAAGTTAGGGCATCACTTTCTAGCAAGAAAAGATTTCAAGGTGCAGCAATGTTTCCTGGGGAAAAAAAAAAAGAAGAGGGATGGCCATATGGTTCCAACGCAGTGCTCTCCTTGGAGAGCAAAGTCATTGGGTTAGAGTCCAAGTCCAATGCAGAGGGATGGGCTAGTTCAGCAGTCCCCCAGTGTGCTCACTTTCTGCAGGGGTGGGGTGTCTAAACCACTTCGGAAGGCTAAGTCTTGGCAAGTCTATTTAAACCCCTGTGGGAAGGAGGGAGAATGACATCGGAATGACAGGGGCCGCCCAATAGCGCTGGTTCATGAGCTTCCTTCAGCCCTTTGCAGCTCACACATTTACTAAGAAATGACGTAAAAGCCATCTCATCCCCAACATCCATCTTGGACTTTGAGGACCTGTACAGGAGTTGGGGACCCTGGTACTTGCATATGGGGAAACTTAGATATGAGCTTTGCCTAAGATTCATTTTGGACATTTACCTGGATTAACTGTAGGCAGGGGAGAAGAGCCCAAGAGAGAAAATGACCCTTTCAGTGGGGGGGGGGGAGTGGTCAACCCCAGGCTCAGGTTTGGTCAGTGTGAGCCCCAAGTTCTTCAGGGGGCCTGGGTCATAAGGCTTTTCTAGATTCAATTCTCTGCATTCATCAGAACAGAATTTAAGCTCTTGCAGGGCAGGGACTGTTTGGAATCTGTGTTTGTCTTCTGGTTTTGCACATGTATCCACATAACATCTTTGTTGTTGAGTCCTTTCAGACATGTCTGACTCTTTATGACTACATTTGGGGTTTTCTTGGCAAAGATACTGGAGTGGTCTATCATTTCCTTACCCAGAAAATTTTGTAGATAAGGAAACTGAGGTAAAAAGGGTTAAGTGACTTGCCCAGGGTCACACAGCTAGTAAGTGCCAAGTACCTGAGGCTGCATTTGAACTCAGGTCCTCCTGACTCTAGGGCCAATGCTCTATCCACTGCGCCACCTAGCTACTGAAGCCACACAGTAAGTGCTTAATAAATGCCAGTTGAATGAATACATGACATGAATATGATTATGTCCTGATGTTTTGGGGGCTGTCTACACTTTGCAAATCACTTTCTTCAACACTCTTGTGTGGTAGTGGTATGGTACTACTACATGGTTCCCATTTTCCAGATAAGAAAATTGAGGTTTATCCATAGTCCCAAGGCTAAATGAGTCACTTGGCTAAAACTCACACCTCACTTCTCCAAGGCATGTAGGTGTGTTCTCCAGCACATTAGCTGCCTCCCCTTTTTAGGAAATTGACTCTCTGAAGCCTCCAGGGCATCCGATTCCAGCTCCCTACCCCCAACTTTCCCTCCCCATCTGTAATCTAACACCATCCCCACAGACCTCCCAGTTAAATTAAATCAGTCCAACTTGGGGATACTGTTTAAAACCTAATGGCTGCCCAGTGCTAAGGCCGGGGCTTTGCTAATCGCCTTTGTCACAACTGACAGACTACCCTGGATTCACTCACAACAGCCCTGAAAATGGAATTAAAATGGGAAGACAGGCACAGCCCAAACCCAACAGGCCCTGTCATCTCCCCCAAGCAGGACCAGGAGCCCCCCTGGACCTGCGCACATTCAGAAAATGCTATCCTCTCCAACAGCTCAGCCAGACGGGACCTGGAGAGCAGCTGGTGGTGAGTCATTCAGGAGTCCACAGCTGGCCTGGAAAAATGATAAAAGCAAAGAAAATAGCACCCCCTCTCCTGCTGCTTCCTCCTTACTGTCAGCAATGGGGAGGGGAAGGAGAGAGACAGAGAGAGACAGAGAGGGAGAGAGAGAGGAGAGAGACAGAGAGGGAGAGACAGAGAGAGAAGAAGAAGAAGAAGAAGAAGAAGAAGAAGAAGAAGAAGAAGAAGAAGAAGAAGAAGAAGAAGAAGAAGAAGAAGAAGATGGAGAGATGGAAGGGAAAGAAGGAGGGAAGGAGGGAGAGAGGCATCAGATCTTCAATACAATAACAATCCTTAGAGTTTAAAACCCAAGGTTTATCTGTTTGAAAACTGGCCTTAGATTTATGAAAATTGGGTCCCTCACAGCTCCCTAAAAGGTCTGTATCTCCTTCAGTGCCTGGTCCAACCCCACCCCACCTCTGTCTGCCCTGACCATCCCATCACTAATAAGAGAGGCAGAGATGGAGGCCATGTGATGGGGAAGGGTCCAGCTTCCAAATGATCTTTCAGGCCAGACTGAGTCACCTTTCTGGCCTCAGCACGCTCATTTGTAAATTGGCAATGGTAGCACTTACCCCACACGGGCATTGTGGGATTCCAATGACACAGCTCTGCAGAGCACCTTGTAAACCTCAGCGTGGTGTATAAATGTCAGCCGGTATCAAGGCTTTCTCAGCACTAGTCGGGGCTGCTTGGGGGTGGGATGAGAAATGAGAGACAGAAAAAAGAAAGGCCTTTGAGCGGGCACCCCAGGCGACGGTGAGCAGGAGCAGATTTCCGGCCATGGGCATTGCCCTCTGCCCCCAGGCTGCCACCCATGCCACAGACTTCATCAAGTCTTCAGTGATCACTCCCGTACTCCTTGAGGGAGAAAAAGAAGCCCGCACCAGCCTGTGGCCCGAATCACCTGCTGTCTGTGCACAGTCGGGGCACTCATGTGTGCTTGCAAGGAGCAGAGAGAGAGGGGGGCAACTCTAGCCTGGTTTATTTTAATACGCTCTTGATACCCCAAAGGGAAAGTGGTTGGAGAGAAGGGCATCTACCTGGATCAAACCCTGCTTCTCCCTCCCTCTGTGACCATGAGCACCTTGCCTTCAGACTGGGCACCAATCTCTCCTTCTGTAGACAGGAAGCTTAGCTCCGCTGACACCTCAGTTCCCTCCAGCTCTGAAATAATGACCTGAATGCAGGACAATGGAGAGTCCTCTCCTGGAGGCCAAGGGACTCTGTGACTTCCAGCCTCCTGCCAAGTAGATGCTTGATCAAAATGGGACATTTTCAGTTTTCAGTTTGAGATGAGAATTTAGACTTCTGAATCTCTGTTTAGCACCTGATTATACCTAATTTTTACTGTTAAGATAAAACTTTCCAGCCAGGGTTTCCAAATGTTTTAGAAATATCAAGGCTCTCGAAAAGATTAATTTCACAGCAAGGCCTAAAAATAGCCCCCACCCGAGTGTTGTGTAGCTCGGATCCCAAAGAAATAGAACAAAACAGGAGCAGGCCCCTTTCCCTTCATTAGAGAAATGGGAAGCCGAGGGAGGGTGTGAATTGTGTGATTCTTACCCAGGCAGTGCTCAGAAGACCAAAGGCCAGCTTTGTGGTGCTATTGGGTGTGAATTCATTAACACAATTCTTCACTCTGGAGAAGGCTATGGCAAACACAATATTTTATCAGAAAAATGCTAGCTTAAAACTTATTTGTCTCGTGAATTAAACAAAGGCCTCCGTTGTTGAGCATGAGAGAGCTTTGGCTCGGAGGCTGCATGGGGCCTCGCCAAGGTGAAAGGCTCTGCTTGGCTTTCTTTTTCCTCCAACAGATCGTTGAACTCCTAATAGGAGCAGCAGCATCTCCCCCAGAGCAGAAGGGAAAGGGAAACGAGGTTTCCCTGCAGGCTTCAAGGTCATTGTTCACGAGGTCATGGTTGGGACATCTAACCAGAGAATATGGTCACCAACTTGGCATGAGGGGATCCAGAGTGAGCCACTTTTTCTCAAGTATGAGGTGTGGCTATAAGTCACACACACACACAGAGAGCCAAAACCTTGGGATTGTCTCCAGTCACCTTTCCAACCCCACAAGAAAAGCCATCTGTAATTCTAGCTTATAATCGGGGCCACCAGCCTCAGGTCCTAACTCTGACCTTATTTATACACCCATAATTACATCTCATGTTACCATAACTGGCCTTTTGAAGAACTGCCCTCCCCTGCAACCTCAGATTAAAATTCCTGCCACTGGCATCATGAAAGGTGCAGACACGGACTTCACAATATGGTTCCTGGATCTCACTGAGAGACATAAGGGTGGACTGGAGCTGCTAAATCACTAATCTACCATAGCTCTGCGCTTCCAGCTAGCCCCACCTGGAAAGCCAAGTTGAAATCAGCTGAAAGGGAAAAGGGGGTGTGATGCAGCCGAACACAACCAAGACCTATGGGCTTCACGGTCAAAGACTGACCAAGGAGACAGGGGAAAGATGGAGAGCCAAGAGCGTCTCTCTCCCTGTCTCAGCGGCTTCTGCCTCTGTTTCTTTAGGGGTCCCGTGCAGAGCTAGCCAAGGAGGGAATCTCTTTGAGGTCCTGACAAGTGCAATGAGTAAAACCTCAAGAGACAGAGTTTTCAGGTATAAATTATCAATTTGTTAACTAGACCAGATAATAATCAATAAATTGATTGTCCATGGTTTCTCTAATTAACCAAAGACTCTGAAAAACCTTAAATCAGGTGTGTACCTTCTGACAGAGAGTACCTCGACAAGTGAAATTCAACCCTGAGTAGTGGACAGCTAATGAGGAAGGGGGCTAGAAATCCCCAGTCCCTCCCAATTACCACATTGTTGGGGGGGAGGTATCAGCTAACAAGTGACCTGGTCATGAACTTTGAGCTCCCTCTAGCAATCTGGACTTGCTGACCAGCTTCCTCTGGTTTGATTTCTTCTTCAGGAGGTAAGCTCTAATGAAGGGTGTCAAGAACAGCCATTCTTTCCCCCAAGGACAGAATGCACCCAGACCAGATTCTGTTTATATCCTCAGCAGAAATCAGGCTTCCTAGTTGGGCGGGGTCCTTGAGCAAAGCTGGGATGCTTCTGACATTCTTTAGCAGAGGGACTCCTCTCTAAGCTGTCTTTTTGACAGAAAAAAAGGAATATTACAAGTTATTATTAATCATCAAATGGTACAACATTAAAATTAATTTCTGTCACAAGACAGTCCAAGTAATAGCACTGAATTCAGGAGGCCTGGCTCACAAAGTTTCATGCCCAGTGTTTGGAGACCAGGTCCAGAATTCCTGACTTCTTTTTCTGGGACCTGGCTCTACCAAATGCATCAGTCTACTTCTGTCACACATCCTTTGGAAACAGCCATCTAGACTCCTCCAACGGCTCCCAAGAGGAGTAGTCCTGGGCCCTCCACACCTTGGCCTATGCATGTCCTAAAGGTTGGAGCCGTCTCCGGGCTGTGGGGCGGTTACTTGGGCCTGGGAGTGACCCTTGGCTCAAAGCCACGCAGCCCCACTATAGGTTCAGGTTGATGGCTAACAGCACCACCTGGTGGTGAAACAGACACTCCCGCCAACGACACACTTTCACAACTCACCTCGTTCTGTGCATCTCTCTCCCAACAAAAAGTGAGCTTCTTGAGAGCAAACAGCGTTTTGCTTTTGTCTTTGTAAACCCAACCTTTAGCACAGTTTCTGGCATGCGGTAGGTGCTTAAAAATTACTTATAGATTGGTTTGATGGTTCCCTCTCTTTTTGTTGTCACCATCAAATGGACCCTCTCCCTACAAGACAAAACAGCATAAGAGTGGTTGGGGATGATGGCACAAGTCACTTGACACTTTAGCTGTTGACTGGGTGAGGGGCATCTTTTAAAAAAAAAGTCACACATCAGTAAAAGCAGATTCCAGGGATCTGTCTTTGGGATAAGAGGATGGGGAAGGGGTATTGTCTATGACTCAAATTGGTTTGAGGGTATGTTCACTTACCAGACCCTTTTGTCTCTTGGGTGCATTGCTTGGAGGGAACACATGGCCATTGTCCCTCAGCGGAGAATCAAAGAACATAAGTTGGGGAAGTCACAGAACCTGCAATGAAAGATCACAGCCCATCTAGTGGCAAAGCAGCAGGGAACCATAAGAACAAAGAAAGTTGGAGTGTGAAGAAACCTTAGGACATATAATAGTAAAACAGGAAAGGACCTTAGAACATAAAACTTCCGAGCTGGAAGGAGAAGCCAGAACATGGGTCAGACCTAGAAGAAACCTCAGAAACTACAATGCTAGAATGTGGTGGAGGGCACAGAATTTGTCACTCTTGTCTTTGTATCCCTATCACCTAGAATCAGTCAGTCCTAAACATTTATGAAGTACCTACTGTGTGCCAGGCACTGGGCTAAACCCTGGGGACACAGAGAAGGTAAAAAGCTCCTAGTCCAATGAGGGAGACAGCATGCAAAAATATTTACATACAAACAAAATGCAGAAAACTTTCATTGTAAATAATGTGCTCGGCACATAATGGGCACTTTATAAGGGTATGTTGAATTAAATTGAATTGAAGGTAGGCATCTTCCATGACGTTCTTTCGCTTTAACAAACTTAGCTCAATGAATATTGTGGCTACACACAAGACACTGTGCTTGGCTTGGAGAATACCAAAGGAGAGTGCCTGGTCTCCAGGACCTTCCCTTCTAACTCCTGCAGTTCCCCATCAGCCCCACTTATACCCATCATTCTTTGGGGCACATTCAGGGGCAATTTTTCAGGGAGTGGGGGTGGTGCTATGCGACCCACAGCACAAAGAAGATCCCCCCTTCAGGGTTCCAAGGGTTCCATGTGAGTCCCCCAGGCTCCCACTAGAACTCTGCTTAGATGTCTTTTTCTGCTCTGTGGGTGACCCGGTGTGCCCAGAAGTCATGCCAGTAAAGTGCCAACTCTAACAAGCACAGTCAGGGTTCAAACAGGGCCCTGGAGACGGTGCCCTCTTCTCCCAGGCGGATGGCTCTTACTGATAAGGGGGTGCAGTGGCTAGAAGTGTGGCCTTGAAAAATGGAAAGACCTGGAATCAGGTGCCAGCCCTGCTACTTCCTACTTCTATGACTCAGGGCAAGCCACTACCAGTCTCTGAACCTCAGTTTGCCCATCTGCAAAATGGAGACAACAGTGTTCAAACTCTATATCAGACTTAAAAAGCATTTTGGATGCCCCCTATTGTGACTCTGCTCCTAATGATTTGGAGTCCACGGGAGAGAATTCACTGGCCACCCGAGAGCAGGAACCTCTCTGCGGAGAAGCCACTCCTGAGAGTCCAGCTCACCTTTGCTCCTGTCCCCAATAGCAGGGCCTAGTCAGGCCACCAGGGTCCCTGCAGCTCCTGAATGACAGGCGAGATCCCAGGGCCTTCCAGCTCTGCCGACTCCTTGCCTGGCCTCGACAGGCCTCAGCCCCAAAGGACAGCCCCTTTGCTTTCCTTGCGCCTCTGCCCCTCAGATGCTCTGAGGGCTTCATTTCCCTCATGCTGAGTAGGAGAATCTACCTTGTGTGCTTCCTGAGTCCTTCCCACAGAGGCTTTGTGCTTGTTTTTCCCCTTTCTGGGAAAGGCTGATGGTCTCTGACCTACAGACTGAACAGGCACCCAGAACTGGGATTGGAGAAGCTCAATGGAATTCAGTCATTGGGAAGAGCTATAACTAGTGTGGGACAACCAGAACTTAGTGCCCGGGTGTTGGCATCCAGTGGGGCACGATTCCTCCCTGTGACCTGGTAGGCCTCTTCCAGGCCATGCCATGCAGCATAATCCCCCTCCCCACCTCAGGCCTTCTGACTCATGCCTTATCCCCTGGGAATCTGCATCAGTGGTAGGGAATGCGCCAGCTCTCCAGCAGCAGCCTGGGGGGAGGGGTCTCTGCCTGCTCCCCAGGTGCCACCTGTCCCAGCTATGGCCCTTTCTTGACTGACAAAACTGAGTCATCTGCCTCAGCTGGCCGCAGAGGGTTTGAGCTCACTTTCGAGAAGAGATCCCGCCTCCCGAGTCCTTCTGGGGGCCGCAGGGGCCCCTTCCAGAGACCTCGTGTGCCCCAGTGAGGAGCGAAGGGTCAACAGCCCGCACACACGCCAGAGAGGGAAGGCTTGCAGAGATGCCACTGAAATGCTAGGCTTTTTCCTCATTAAAAAAAGTCTTGCACCTGCAGGGGCTTGGCGAAGGATAAATTAAGTCGTGTGTCACACGTCTGTGCTCAGCAGGGTCCGTGCAATCTTCCAATTATCCCTGCAAACCTGAATTACCCTTTGAGCCCAGGGAGGGCTATTGACAGGGAGGAAGCAGGCACTGGCTGGGGCTTCACTTGGGGGAGGGGCAGGCTTAACTCAGAGTGTGAATTTCTATGCTGTAATTTACAAAATGAAATGACATCAGGAGGGGTGTGCTTGCACCTGAGGATGGATGCAGGGCTTGGCGTCCCGAGCCTGCAAGACAGAAGCATGATCACCACTCTGCTGCACATGGGCACCATGCCGTGCTGCCGGCCTCAAATGCACCATCTCAGGCCAAGCATAGACAAGGGGCACACATCCACACCACCCAAATGCAATTCAGTTAAACACAGGCTTGTTTGTGTATCATCCAGGTGCTGAGCACTGAGCACTGGGAGAGACAGTGACAAAAATAAAAACATCACCTGCCCTCCGAGAGCTTCCATTCTGCTGGGGCATATGGCCCCTTTGTGGAAAGGCAAGTGCAAGGCAGATCGGGGAGTGAGGCAAGGGGGAAGGCGCTGACACTTCAGAGGGTGAGGGAGTCCCTGGGGGAGACTGGAAGGAGGAGAATAATGTCAGCAGAGAACATCTAGACCTTCGTTATGGCAGGACCACTGTGGGAGGGAAGAGGAGCTCTCTGCGGAGCGTTTGGAAGGTAGGCCAGAACCAAGGAAGGGGGGGATAAGAGGCCACCACAAGCCAGGCACTGGGCTAAGCCTTCCCTCCTCACAACAACTGGGGATGGGGGTGCTCTTATTATCCCCATTTCACAGATGAGGAAACAGAGGCAAATAGAAGTAAAGTGGCCTGCCCAGGGCCACCCAGCAGGAAATTGTCTGAGGCTGACTCTGATCTCAGGCCTCTCTTCCTGACCCCAGGCCCAGCACGCCACCTACCGCCCTTATGTGTCAGGCCAAGGAGCTGCCCAGGGAGCCGCCCAGGGCACCACAGAGGACTTTGGGCATGGCAGCTGAGCAGAGGACACAGTAGAGGACACAGGTTTAAGGCAGAGAGACCATATGAGAGACAATCCCTTCCAGGCCAGGAAGGAAGCGAGGAGCAAGAGGGATTCTGGGGCAGACATGGAAAGGTAGAAGTCACCGCTAACCCTCTGAGCCTCAGTCTCCCAATCTGTAAAATCAGAGAGTTGGACTCAGCCTCTAAAGGCCCTTCCAGCACTAGAGACAGGCTCCTATAATTAGACATGTGGGGGGAGTGAAGAATTGAGGGTGACACCTCAGTTATGCACCTGTGAGACAGAGGGGATTGCAGAATCCAGGAGAGAAAGAGGAGTTCTGAGGAGGGGCAGCCTGGGCTGGGGAGGGGTCTTCTGAGGAGGGCCAGGCTTGGGGGTGGGGGAGGTGCTTCTGAGGAGGGGCAGGCAGGGGGTGGAGGGGCTTCTGAGAAGGGGCAGGCAGGAGGTAGGGGGAACAACAGAGGACACTTTGTAGGACAACACTCACCAGCCTGGAGGTTCCCTGCACTCCCCATTCAAGGGAGAAGCGCACAGCGGGGAGAGATTTCCGTGAGGACTTCATTAACAAACCCTAAGAGATCCCCATTGGAAACTGGTCATTGCAGACCTCAGCAGCAACTTACAAATGTCTGACTTTGTGGCCCCTTGTGGTGCTGATTGTGTTTGTGTTTGAGTCAATGACTTTGCCTCTACTCTCAACATGTCCACCACACCTTCCCACAGCCACGCCCTTCCCTGGACTCTGGCCTTGTGTCTGTCCATGATGAGCAACCACTGTGGCCGCAGGAGTGAGAAGACAGGGGACCAGAAACAGCTCCCAGTAAGACCTGCCACCAATTCTCCTGGGCTTTGAGGTTGAAGACTGACTCCAAAAGGTGGAGACCACAGCGAGGCTGACTGGATCTTTACTAACTATAAGACTTTGGGCAAGTCTCTTAACCTCTCTGAGACTCAGTTTCGTCATGTGCAAAATGATGAAGTTGGACTTGACAACCTCCACCTTTAGATCTATTAATCTCTGAGATACTCCAAGATGATGTGCCCTGTCTAGGTTCTCACAGTTAACAAGGAAGGAAGAAGGAAGGAAGGAAGGAAGGAAGGAAGGAAGGAAGGAAGGAAGGAAGGAAGGAAGGAAGGAAGGAAGGAAGGAAGGAAAGAAGGAAGGAGGGAGGGAGGGAGGGAGGGAGGGAGGAGGGAGGGAGAGAGGGAGGAAGGGAGGGAGGGAGGGAAGGAAGGAGGGAGTTAATTCTTGCTCTGATTGGAAGAGACACCATATACAAGAGACAGGACAGATGGTAAGGCCTGGTCATCCCCCATCTCCCTGAGAAGATTACCTTTGGCCACTCCCTGCTCATTCGCAGATGGGGGTGGCCAGGTGGCTCTTCCCCAGCCCCTGGATGGTGCCTGGGCAGGGACAAAGGAAAGGCTAGAGAAAAGGACCTCCAAGGCTCTTCCCAGCCGGCCACTTCAAGTGGTGCCAGAGGCAGTGTTTGATGCCAAGTCTCCTGACCCAAGGTCCGGGGCTCTCTCTGC